GTTCAAGCAATTGTGATTGTGCAGTTGCGTTTGTCTCGTGGATCACAACCAACTGAGACTGATCTGACGGAGACTCTGGTTCGTGGATGCACACTCTTGAATATCAGGAGTGGACCAAGTTTGAGAAACATCACAGCATATCGTAAGTCGTCAATTGTTGTTGCCCATTTTGCCAATGATATGTTGTGATATGATGTGATGTGAGATGAGATAAGATGAGATGATGGTGAAGCGAGACAGTGACTGTTGCGCTATTGAGATAGGAGAACAGTGACAGTATTGCTTATGAGTCGATTGTTCCCAATGTTGGATGTGCACACCCGTAGTGGAACCATCCATCAGAGAGATCAAAATACTTACTGCTGGATGAGGAGGTGTGAAACGCTCCAGTTTTCTCTTACAGGTCACATGCATCGTGGTGATGCTGAAGATGTCGAGTGTTTGCTGTTTACGATGTACGCTGTAGCATTTCTGTAATGTGACCGTGTTGTGTAGCATTGTTTCGTGCAGGTTTTCTATATTGTGAAGAGTGAATCTGTGTGCTAAGGAGAGATGAGTATGTATGGGTGTTTGTTATTGCATGTTAGTTTGTCGATTGAAGGATAACCCAGATAAGATTCTTCGAATTCATACTACTTCAATGAAATTTGCTACTGCCTGAATTGTTGTTGTCAATTTCGCAATGCGTGCTATGGTCACTGGATGTCACTATATAAAGGGAGTTGTGTTATTTTAAGTTTCGGCTTCTCTCCGGAATTTAGAGCTGCAATGAAGACTCAGTCTTCTCTATTTCAACTAGACGTGTAGACTATCCAATTGGAAGCGTTGTTGTGCATCAGTTGGTGTTCTGTTGAGTCGGACAAACAACATCTTGTTAGTAGAATAACAATAATTAGATGGTGGAAATATCAACCACCGTAGTCCCGTGTGAAAGCTGACAGGAAGATATTTCTGACCGATGAATACAACTACATGTGTTTTCCGTTTAATTCAACAGGTCCACGAACAAGCACTGTGACGTCGACTGACGGTCTCGGCCAAACAGAAACAAGTGTCTCGACAGAATCGAGGCAGCCGATCAGGACCACGTCGACAGAGACGATGACTGCAAGATCGACTGTGCTGATGACCAGCCCGTCATCAACTACTACTGGAGCTGCTTTCGGTAGGTTCACATTATGTTGCATAACATCATGTGCTGCGCATATCTTTTCCTACATACGCTCACACGAGATGTGTTGTTGTGCAGTGTCTGTTGATTGTTTGACTGACTTGTTTATTTATTTAGTTGCTGACAGATCATTGGACTAACTGACCTACTGACTGTCATATGCGACGAAGTCTAAAGGAATGGTAACTTCCAGCATTAGTTTATGGACTAGTATCATGTGTTAGGTTTTATTGTATTTTTCCCCTTGGTTCGTTCATTATTTCAACATGCTTTTACTTTTCTCGCGACTATAATTTCTTTGATGCTCTTTCTGTGCTCGTTACATCTGTCTTAAACCATCGCTATTTATGTCTGTGCAACTTTGAGTCTATTTTTACCGTGTGCAGCAGGTTCTCGCCTAGTGCAGTGCATCTTGTCGCGACCACACCTACCAGCCTCCGCTATTTGAATTATTTTCTTCAGTCATGCGTTGTTAATATGCACGCATACCAGATAGCGTCACACTATCAATTGAAATATCATATTTATACGAGATCAAGCTTGAAGTGGCTGTGAGTGTAGGACGCTGTGTATGATAAATTTGTATTAAGTGAAGAATGTTGTGTCGAGTAACAATATACAATGTGTCAATTAGAATTTTACTATAGAAGGCATATTGCCATTTGTACCTTATAGTGACCTAATATTTATCTAACGTTAATTTGTGTGTGTCTGTATGCATACCGGGTTACATAGTGATTAAATAATATAGGAAACTTGGAATATTCGACATTATCCTATCCCACTATACGATATTTGATCTTCATATGGCCATATTACTAGTACTGTGGATTTGTTTAAAATATATTTCTCACACTGACTACGGGATCTGCACGAAGTAGCAGCATTATGAGGAAAAACAACATTGGATATGAATTCATCCGAAACATAACTATGTCACGACTTATTTATTCCAAAAAGATTCGCTCCAAATTATCAGTAATTCCAAAGAGGAATAATGAGTCATAAGAAAAGTCCATGCCGAAAGAGATTGCAAAAGAATTCGACCCACATGTCATAAGTTTGATATAAATTTGAAGGATGTATAAAAAACCTGTTCGCATGACATGTGTACTTGTGTTGACTGACTGTCCCACTGATTGACACATCGACCGATTAACTGTTTGACCAACGTGTTGATTTATCGACGGATTAATTGAGTGATTGACTGGTTGATGGATTCAGTCTTTTCCTTAAGATTATTGAAGCTGGATCAATTCGGATTGATGTTTCTGTCATGTGGTATTGGACAGCTGGCTGAAACTCATAATGCTGACCTATTGCAGTTGACTGAGGAACAGACCCATCTTCTGGAGACGATTTTGAACGCGATCGTGTTGGGGTAGTGCAAAACAACGATACTAACATCAAGTTGTCATTACTTCTTCTTTTTGCTCTTCTTCTTCTTCCTCTTCTTCTTCTTCTTTTGCTTACACTTCTGTTATCCAGTGCGTTCTTGTGTGCATTTATCTGTCCTTTAATTACAACTTTGAGCGAACTGTAACGAGTGGTAGAAAACCAGTAAAATGAAAAAAATTGTCAAGATTATACTAGCAACCATCAGCTCCAACATCGATTCGGTGAATAAATCCTTCTCCCTAATCGTCATCATCATGTTCAGAATTATCAACATCGTCATGCAGGTGTTGTTACAGTTTGTTGCACTATTATCATCGTTGTTGACGTAAATGCTAATAACACTCTGATAGTAGAGCTAATGACAAGTGTGATGATAATATTACTAATAAAATTACTAACAATGACAATAATACCACTACTAACAAAAATAATAATCATAATATTAACAATAATAATCATAATGGTAGTAGTGGTAGTAGTATTCATGACATGAATGTTAATATGACTACTTTTATCGAAATGAAATGTTTCACTCGTTTCCATTTGTAGAGATCTCCGTGTTCGAGGTGGATATTGTGATCTATATTGAAGAACGGTCAGTGCCCATGAATTGGTCAACTGATCTGTCGAATGAGTCAAGTGTCATGTACAGAAATTTGTCGATGTCAATTTGTGACCTGGTAGGTGTGCATTCGTAATGATTATTGCGTTCTTAGTGTACTGGTATGCAATAACCAGAGAAGCAGTGTGTGAATTGCTCGAAACACACCAGTGTAGTGGACAAATGATTCTGTGAAATGATGGGAGTGAAAATCTCCAGGAGAGAGGGGGCATAGTTTGAAGTAAATTGATGAGTGTGTAATGTACAGACTGAGTTAGTAAGTAGGCGTGGAAGTGTGTATGTGAGAACGGAAGTTTGTGAGAAGGCAATGAGTTAGTGAGTAGGTAAGAAGTTAGTAGTAGGTGGTGAGTAAGTAGGTGAGCAAGTAGTGAGTTAGTGGTCATGTAAGTGTGAGATTGAAGCGAGTGGTGATGAGTTGGTGTATTGAGTGTGGTGTTCACATTGGTAGTGTGAGCGTCAGTTAGTTGAGTGAGTAAACCAGTGATTGTCCGTTTGTGAAGTGGTGGTCATGCAGTTAATCATCATAATGATGATAGCGATGATGAGCACTGGTCGACACCGGTCTAATTGAAAATTGTAGTTGTGGTGTTGATATATGAGCAAGCGAACGACTGACTAATCGACTGATTGTGTATTCTGTGTGATATATTCTTTGCACGTTGCAGCTATTGAGCGGACTACGTCTGGGTAATGAAGAGTTCTCTCGAGGTGCTACTTGTGTCCGTGTTGTCTTCATTCGGATCATGATCTGGATTGACGGTGTTGGCCGAGCTCACACCGACGCGGGTGTCAATCGTGTCTCAATGGAAGCTGTTCAAGCAATTGTGATTGTGCAGTTGCGTTTGTCTCGTGGATCACAACCAACTGAGACTGATCTGACGGAGACTCTGGTTCGTGGATGCACACTCTTGAATATCAGGAGTGGACCAAGTTTGAGAAACATCACAGCATATCGTAAGTCGTCAATTGTTGTTGCCCATTTTGCCAATGATATGTTGTGATATGATGTGATGTGAGATGAGATAAGATGAGATGATGGTGAAGCGAGACAGTGACTGTTGCGCTATTGAGATAGGAGAACAGTGACAGTATTGCTTATGAGTCGATTGTTCCCAATGTTGGATGTGCACACCCGTAGTGGAACCATCCATCAGAGAGATCAAAATACTTACTGCTGGATGAGGAGGTGTGAAACGCTCCAGTTTTCTCTTACAGGTCACATGCATCGTGGTGATGCTGAAGATGTCGAGTGTTTGCTGTTTACGATGTACGCTGTAGCATTTCTGTAATGTGACCGTGTTGTGTAGCATTGTTTCGTGCAGGTTTTCTATATTGTGAAGAGTGAATCTGTGTGCTAAGGAGAGATGAGTATGTATGGGTGTTTGTTATTGCATGTTAGTTTGTCGATTGAAGGATAACCCAGATAAGATTCTTCGAATTCATACTACTTCAATGAAATTTGCTACTGCCTGAATTGTTGTTGTCAATTTCGCAATGCGTGCTATGGTCACTGGATGTCACTATATAAAGGGAGTTGTGTTATTTTAAGTTTCGGCTTCTCTCCGGAATTTAGAGCTGCAATGAAGACTCAGTCTTCTCTATTTCAACTAGACGTGTAGACTATCCAATTGGAAGCGTTGTTGTGCATCAGTTGGTGTTCTGTTGAGTCGGACAAACAACATCTTGTTAGTAGAATAACAATAATTAGATGGTGGAAATATCAACCACCGTAGTCCCGTGTGGAAGCTGACAGGAAGATATTTCTGACCGATGAATACAACTACATGTGTTTTCCGTTTAATTCAACAGGTCCACGAACAAGCACTGTGACGTCGACTGACGGTCTCGGACAAACAGAAACAAGTGTCTCGACAGAATCGAGGCAGCCGATCAGGACCACGTCGACAGAGACGATGACTGCAAGATCGACTGTGCTGATGACCAGCCCGTCATCAACTACTACTGGAGCTGCTTTCGGTAGGTTCACATTATGTTGCATAACATCATGTGCTGTGCATATCTTTTCCTACATACGCTCACACGAGATGTGTTGTTGTGCAGTGTCTGTTGATTGTTTGACTGACTTGTTTATTTATTTAGTTGCTGACAGATCATTGGACTAACTGACCTACTGACTGTCATATGCGACGAAGTCTAAAGGAATGGTAACTTCCAGCATTAGTTTATGGACTAGTATCATGTGTTAGGTTTTATTGTATTTTTCCCCTTGGTTCGTTCATTATTTCAACATGCTTTTACTTTTCTCGCGACTATAATTTCTTTGATGCTCTTTCTGTGCTCGTTACATCTGTCTTAAACCATCGCTATTTATGTCTGTGCAACTTTGAGTCTATTTTTACCGTGTGCAGCAGGTTCTCGCCTAGTGCAGTGCATCTTGTCGCGACCACACCTACCAGCCTCCGCTATTTGAATTATTTTCTTCAGTCATGCGTTGTTAATATGCACGCATACCAGATAGCGTCACACTATCAATTGAAATATCATATTTATACGAGATCAAGCTTGAAGTGGCTGTGAGTGTAGGACGCTGTGTATGATAAATTTGTATTAAGTGAAGAATGTTGTGTCGAGTAACAATATACAATGTGTCAATTAGAATTTTACTATAGAAGGCATATTGCCATTTGTACCTTATAGTGACCTAATATTTATCTAACGTTAATTTGTGTGTGTCTGTATGCATACCGGGTTACATAGTGATTAAATAATATAGGAAACTTGGAATATTCGACATTATCCTATCCCACTATACGATATTTGATCTTCATATGGCCATATTACTAGTACTGTGGATTTGTTTAAAATATATTTCTCACACTGACTACGGGATCTGCACGAAGTAGCAGCATTATGAGGAAAAACAACATTGGATATGAATTCATCCGAAACATAACTATGTCACGACTTATTTATTCCAAAAAGATTCGCTCCAAATTATCAGTAATTCCAAAGAGGAATAATGAGTCATAAGAAAAGTCCATGCCGAAAGAGATTGCAAAAGAATTCGACCCACATGTCATAAGTTTGATATAAATTTGAAGGATGTATAAAAAACCTGTTCGCATGACATGTGTACTTGTGTTGACTGACTGTCCCACTGATTGACACATCGACCGATTAACTGTTTGACCAACGTGTTGATTTATCGACGGATTAATTGAGTGATTGACTGGTTGATGGATTCAGTCTTTTCCTTAAGATTATTGAAGCTGGATCAATTCGGATTGATGTTTCTGTCATGTGGTATTGGACAGCTGGCTGAAACTCATAATGCTGACCTATTGCAGTTGACTGAGGAACAGACCCATCTTCTGGAGACGATTTTGAACGCGATCGTGTTGGGGTAGTGCAAAACAACGATACTAACATCAAGTTGTCATTACTTCTTCTTTTTGCTCTTCTTCTTCTTCCTCTTCTTCTTCTTCTTTTGCTTACACTTCTGTTATCCAGTGCGTTCTTGTGTGCATTTATCTGTCCTTTAATTACAACTTTGAGCGAACTGTAACGAGTGGTAGAAAACCAGTAAAATGAAAAAAATTGTCAAGATTATACTAGCAACCATCAGCTCCAACATCGATTCGGTGAATAAATCCTTCTCCCTAATCGTCATCATCATGTTCAGAATTATCAACATCGTCATGCAGGTGTTGTTACAGTTTGTTGCACTATTATCATCGTTGTTGACGTAAATGCTAATAACACTCTGATAGTAGAGCTAATGACAAGTGTGATGATAATATTACTAATAAAATTACTAACAATGACAATAATACCACTACTAACAAAAATAATAATCATAATATTAACAATAATAATCATAATGGTAGTAGTGGTAGTAGTATTCATGACATGAATGTTAATATGACTACTTTTATCGAAATGAAATGTTTCACTCGTTTCCATTTGTAGAGATCTCCGTGTTCGAGGTGGATATTGTGATCTATATTGAAGAACGGTCAGTGCCCATGAATTGGTCAACTGATCTGTCGAATGAGTCAAGTGTCATGTACAGAAATTTGTCGATGTCAATTTGTGACCTGGTAGGTGTGCATTCGTAATGATTATTGCGTTCTTAGTGTACTGGTATGCAATAACCAGAGAAGCAGTGTGTGAATTGCTCGAAACACACCAGTGTAGTGGACAAATGATTCTGTGAAATGATGGGAGTGAAAATCTCCAGGAGAGAGGGGGCATAGTTTGAAGTAAATTGATGAGTGTGTAATGTACAGACTGAGTTAGTAAGTAGGCGTGGAAGTGTGTATGTGAGAACGGAAGTTTGTGAGAAGGCAATGAGTTAGTGAGTAGGTAAGAAGTTAGTAGTAGGTGGTGAGTAAGTAGGTGAGCAAGTAGTGAGTTAGTGGTCATGTAAGTGTGAGATTGAAGCGAGTGGTGATGAGTTGGTGTATTGAGTGTGGTGTTCACATTGGTAGTGTGAGCGTCAGTTAGTTGAGTGAGTAAACCAGTGATTGTCCGTTTGTGAAGTGGTGGTCATGCAGTTAATCATCATAATGATGATAGCGATGATGAGCACTGGTCGACACCGGTCTAATTGAAAATTGTAGTTGTGGTGTTGATATATGAGCAAGCGAACGACTGACTAATCGACTGATTGTGTATTCTGTGTGATATATTCTTTGCACGTTGCAGCTATTGAGCGGACTACGTCTGGGTAATGAAGAGTTCTCTCGAGGTGCTACTTGTGTCCGTGTTGTCTTCATTCGGATCATGATCTGGATTGACGGTGTTGGCCGAGCTCACACCGACGCGGGTGTCAATCGTGTCTCAATGGAAGCTGTTCAAGCAATTGTGATTGTGCAGTTGCGTTTGTCTCGTGGATCACAACCAACTGAGACTGATCTGACGGAGACTCTGGTTCGTGGATGCACACTCTTGAATATCAGGAGTGGACCAAGTTTGAGAAACATCACAGCATATCGTAAGTCGTCAATTGTTGTTGCCCATTTTGCCAATGATATGTTGTGATATGATGTGATGTGAGATGAGATAAGATGAGATGATGGTGAAGCGAGACAGTGACTGTTGCGCTATTGAGATAGGAGAACAGTGACAGTATTGCTTATGAGTCGATTGTTCCCAATGTTGGATGTGCACACCCGTAGTGGAACCATCCATCAGAGAGATCAAAATACTTACTGCTGGATGAGGAGGTGTGAAACGCTCCAGTTTTCTCTTACAGGTCACATGCATCGTGGTGATGCTGAAGATGTCGAGTGTTTGCTGTTTACGATGTACGCTGTAGCATTTCTGTAATGTGACCGTGTTGTGTAGCATTGTTTCGTGCAGGTTTTCTATATTGTGAAGAGTGAATCTGTGTGCTAAGGAGAGATGAGTATGTATGGGTGTTTGTTATTGCATGTTAGTTTGTCGATTGAAGGATAACCCAGATAAGATTCTTCGAATTCATACTACTTCAATGACATTTGCTACTGCCTGAATTGTTGTTGTCAATTTCGCAATGCGTGCTATGGTCACTGGATGTCACTATATAAAGGGAGTTGTGTTATTTTAAGTTTCGGCTTCTCTCCGGAATTTAGAGCTGCAATGAAGACTCAGTCTTCTCTATTTCAACTAGACGTGTAGACTATCCAATTGGAAGCGTTGTTGTGCATCAGTTGGTGTTCTGTTGAGTCGGACAAACAACATCTTGTTAGTAGAATAACAATAATTAGATGGTGGAAATATCAACCACCGTAGTCCCGTGTGGAAGCTGACAGGAAGATATTTCTGACCGATGAATACAACTACATGTGTTTTCCGTTTAATTCAACAGGTCCACGAACAAGCACTGTGACGTCGACTGACGGTCTCGGACAAACAGAAACAAGTGTCTCGACAGAATCGAGGCAGCCGATCAGGACCACGTCGACAGAGACGATGACTGCAAGATCGACTGTGCTGATGACCAGCCCGTCATCAACTACTACTGGAGCTGCTTTCGGTAGGTTCACATTATGTTGCATAACATCATGTGCTGTGCATATCTTTTCCTACATACGCTCACACGAGATGTGTTGTTGTGCAGTGTCTGTTGATTGTTTGACTGACTTGTTTATTTATTTAGTTGCTGACAGATCATTGGACTAACTGACCTACTGACTGTCATATGCGACGAAGTCTAAAGGAATGGTAACTTCCAGCATTAGTTTATGGACTAGTATCATGTGTTAGGTTTTATTGTATTTTTCCCCTTGGTTCGTTCATTATTTCAACATGCTTTTACTTTTCTCGCGACTATAATTTCTTTGATGCTCTTTCTGTGCTCGTTACATCTGTCTTAAACCATCGCTATTTATGTCTGTGCAACTTTGAGTCTATTTTTACCGTGTGCAGCAGGTTCTCGCCTAGTGCAGTGCATCTTGTCGCGACCACACCTACCAGCCTCCGCTATTTGAATTATTTTCTTCAGTCATGCGTTGTTAATATGCACGCATACCAGATAGCGTCACACTATCAATTGAAATATCATATTTATACGAGATCAAGCTTGAAGTGGCTGTGAGTGTAGGACGCTGTGTATGATAAATTTGTATTAAGTGAAGAATGTTGTGTCGAGTAACAATATACAATGTGTCAATTAGAATTTTACTATAGAAGGCATATTGCCATTTGTACCTTATAGTGACCTAATATTTATCTAACGTTAATTTGTGTGTGTCTGTATGCATACCGGGTTACATAGTGATTAAATAATATAGGAAACTTGGAATATTCGACATTATCCTATCCCACTATACGATATTTGATCTTCATATGGCCATATTACTAGTACTGTGGATTTGTTTAAAATATATTTCTCACACTGACTACGGGATCTGCACGAAGTAGCAGCATTATGAGGAAAAACAACATTGGATATGAATTCATCCGAAACATAACTATGTCACGACTTATTTATTCCAAAAAGATTCGCTCCAAATTATCAGTAATTCCAAAGAGGAATAATGAGTCATAAGAAAAGTCCATGCCGAAAGAGATTGCAAAAGAATTCGACCCACATGTCATAAGTTTGATATAAATTTGAAGGATGTATAAAAAACCTGTTCGCATGACATGTGTACTTGTGTTGACTGACTGTCCCACTGATTGACACATCGACCGATTAACTGTTTGACCAACGTGTTGATTTATCGACGGATTAATTGAGTGATTGACTGGTTGATGGATTCAGTCTTTTCCTTAAGATTATTGAAGCTGGATCAATTCGGATTGATGTTTCTGTCATGTGGTATTGGACAGCTGGCTGAAACTCATAATGCTGACCTATTGCAGTTGACTGAGGAACAGACCCATCTTCTGGAGACGATTTTGAACGCGATCGTGTTGGGGTAGTGCAAAACAACGATACTAACATCAAGTTGTCATTACTTCTTCTTTTTGCTCTTCTTCTTCTTCCTCTTCTTCTTCTTCTTTTGCTTACACTTCTGTTATCCAGTGCGTTCTTGTGTGCATTTATCTGTCCTTTAATTACAACTTTGAGCGAACTGTAACGAGTGGTAGAAAACCAGTAAAATGAAAAAAATTGTCAAGATTATACTAGCAACCATCAGCTCCAACATCGATTCGGTGAATAAATCCTTCTCCCTAATCGTCATCATCATGTTCAGAATTATCAACATCGTCATGCAGGTGTTGTTACAGTTTGTTGCACTATTATCATCGTTGTTGACGTAAATGCTAATAACACTCTGATAGTAGAGCTAATGACAAGTGTGATGATAATATTACTAATAAAATTACTAACAATGACAATAATACCACTACTAACAAAAATAATAATCATAATATTAACAATAATAATCATAATGGTAGTAGTGGTAGTAGTATTCATGACATGAATGTTAATATGACTACTTTTATCGAAATGAAATGTTTCACTCGTTTCCATTTGTAGAGATCTCCGTGTTCGAGGTGGATATTGTGATCTATATTGAAGAACGGTCAGTGCCCATGAATTGGTCAACTGATCTGTCGAATGAGTCAAGTGTCATGTACAGAAATTTGTCGATGTCAATTTGTGACCTGGTAGGTGTGCATTCGTAATGATTATTGCGTTCTTAGTGTACTGGTATGCAATAACCAGAGAAGCAGTGTGTGAATTGCTCGAAACACACCAGTGTAGTGGACAAATGATTCTGTGAAATGATGGGAGTGAAAATCTCCAGGAGAGAGGGGGCATAGTTTGAAGTAAATTGATGAGTGTGTAATGTACAGACTGAGTTAGTAAGTAGGCGTGGAAGTGTGTATGTGAGAACGGAAGTTTGTGAGAAGGCAATGAGTTAGTGAGTAGGTAAGAAGTTAGTAGTAGGTGGTGAGTAAGTAGGTGAGCAAGTAGTGAGTTAGTGGTCATGTAAGTGTGAGATTGAAGCGAGTGGTGATGAGTTGGTGTATTGAGTGTGGTGTTCACATTGGTAGTGTGAGCGTCAGTTAGTTGAGTGAGTAAACCAGTGATTGTCCGTTTGTGAAGTGGTGGTCATGCAGTTAATCATCATAATGATGATAGCGATGATGAGCACTGGTCGACACCGGTCTAATTGAAAATTGTAGTTGTGGTGTTGATATATGAGCAAGCGAACGACTGACTAATCGACTGATTGTGTATTCTGTGTGATATATTCTTTGCACGTTGCAGCTATTGAGCGGACTACGTCTGGGTAATGAAGAGTTCTCTCGAGGTGCTACTTGTGTCCGTGTTGTCTTCATTCGGATCATGATCTGGATTGACGGTGTTGGCCGAGCTCACACCGACGCGGGTGTCAATCGTGTCTCAATGGAAGCTGTTCAAGCAATTGTGATTGTGCAGTTGCGTTTGTCTCGTGGATCACAACCAACTGAGACTGATCTGACGGAGACTCTGGTTCGTGGATGCACACTCTTGAATATCAGGAGTGGACCAAGTTTGAGAAACATCACAGCATATCGTAAGTCGTCAATTGTTGTTGCCCATTTTGCCAATGATATGTTGTGATATGATGTGATGTGAGATGAGATAAGATGAGATGATGGTGAAGCGAGACAGTGACTGTTGCGCTATTGAGATAGGAGAACAGTGACAGTATTGCTTATGAGTCGATTGTTCCCAATGTTGGATGTGCACACCCGTAGTGGAACCATCCATCAGAGAGATCAAAATACTTACTGCTGGATGAGGAGGTGTGAAACGCTCCAGTTTTCTCTTACAGGTCACATGCATCGTGGTGATGCTGAAGATGTCGAGTGTTTGCTGTTTACGATGTACGCTGTAGCATTTCTGTAATGTGACCGTGTTGTGTAGCATTGTTTCGTGCAGGTTTTCTATATTGTGAAGAGTGAATCTGTGTGCTAAGGAGAGATGAGTATGTATGGGTGTTTGTTATTGCATGTTAGTTTGTCGATTGAAGGATAACCCAGATAAGATTCTTCGAATTCATACTACTTCAATGACATTTGCTACTGCCTGAATTGTTGTTGTCAATTTCGCAATGCGTGCTATGGTCACTGGATGTCACTATATAAAGGGAGTTGTGTTATTTTAAGTTTCGGCTTCTCTCCGGAATTTAGAGCTGCAATGAAGACTCAGTCTTCTCTATTTCAACTAGACGTGTAGACTATCCAATTGGAAGCGTTGTTGTGCATCAGTTGGTGTTCTGTTGAGTCGGACAAACAACATCTTGTTAGTAGAATAACAATAATTAGATGGTGGAAATATCAACCACCGTAGTCCCGTGTGGAAGCTGACAGGAAGATATTTCTGACCGATGAATACAACTACATGTGTTTTCCGTTTAATTCAACAGGTCCACGAACAAGCACTGTGACGTCGACTGACGGTCTCGGCCAAACAGAAACAAGTGTCTCGACAGAATCGAGGCAGCCGATCAGGACCACGTCGACAGAGACGATGACTGCAAGATCGACTGTGCTGATGACCAGCCCGTCATCAACTACTACTGGAGCTGCTTTCGGTAGGTTCACATTATGTTGCATAACATCATGTGCTGTGCATATCTTTTCCTACATACGCTCACACGAGATGTGTTGTTGTGCAGTGTCTGTTGATTGTTTGACTGACTTGTTTATTTATTTAGTTGCTGACAGATCATTGGACTAACTGACCTACTGACTGTCATATGCGACGAAGTCTAAAGGAATGGTAACTTCCAGCATTAGTTTATGGACTAGTATCATGTGTTATGTTTTATTGTATTTTTCCCCTTGGTTCGTTCATTATTTCAACATGCTTTTACTCTTCTCGCGACCATAATTGGCATAAGTGTCGGTATTTAGTGTTGTATTGATCGTTCTTTTGATTGTGTGACCTGAGAGAGAGAATGTGTCTGGCATATTGCGAGACAATGTGGAGATGATGTTGACTTGTGACGAGTGTACTAATTGTGGTTGTTTGTTTGTTTGTGTGTGTTCTCTCTGCTTCTGTACAGACACATCGACAGGCGTTGCGACTGAGACCAGCAGCGTCAAGCACACAGACACAAGTGCGGCGTCAGAACTCAGTCGACCGAACACCACTAGCACTAGTACGGACACGAGCACGAGCACAGGCACAAGCACGAGCATGGGCACGATCAGTAGCACCACCGCGACCACAAGCACAACATTGATGCCGTCAACGACGATGAGCACGACAGCAACATTGGCTACCATGCGGATGACCGAGCCGTCATCAACTACTGCTGCAGCTACTTTCGGTAGGTCCGAATTGTTTTGCAAGACAACAAATGCACTCCACACCTCATTCAACTCATGTTCACATGACTTGTGTGCTTGTGTTGAGTGCATTGACTGACTGTTCCACTGATTGACACATCGACCGATTGACTGTTTGACCAACGCGTTGATTTATTGACTGATTCAATAATTGACTGATGGGTTGATTGATTGATTGATGGAGTGATTGAGTGACTGATTGGTTAAGGCAGAGATTGACTGAGTGAATGACAGTGATTGCGTTGGAGAGTGTTCGCAATGCAAATGTGTTGACGGTGAGTGTGAAGGTGATTGGCGACAGCATGTTTATGTTGTTGTGTAGCTGAATGCATCAGCGTGATCAGTGGTGTAGTGGATGGGAGGAGAGATTCACACTGATTGTAGACACAGTGACTCGGATGTAGGATGACGCGAGAGATAGCATGGTATGTGTGATGTGTATTTTGTGTGTGGTATTGTGACTTTGTGTGAAAGCACTGTGTTGTTTGTTGTCACTGAGTTGTGTAGATGGTGTTGAAGTGGTCGACACATTGGTAGTTGTTGTAGTATTGTATGTAGTTGTTTGTGTGTGCGTAGATATTGGTTTGATGATGTTGGTGGAGACGGTGGCATAAGTGTCGGTATTTAGTGTTGTATTGATAGTTCTTTTGATTGTGTGACCTGAGAGAGAGAATGTGTCTGGCATATTGCGAGACAATGTGGAGATGATGTTGACTTGTGACGAGTGTACTAATTGTGGTTGTTTGTGTGTTTGTGTGTGTTCTCTCTGCTTCTGTACAGACACATCGACAGGCGTTGCGACTGAGACCAGCAGCGTCAAGCACACAGACACAAGTGCGGCGTCAGAACTCAGTCGACCGAACACCACTAGCACTAGTACGGACACGAGCACGAGCACAGGCACAAGCACGAGCATGGGCACGATCAGTAGCACCACCGCGACCACAAGCACAACATTGATGCCGTCAACGACGATGAGCACGACAGCAACATTGGCTACCATGCGGATGACCGAGCCGTCATCAACTACTACTGCAGCTACTTTCGGTAGGTCCGAATTGTTTTGCAAGACAACAAATGCACTCCACACCTCATTCAACTCATGTTCACATGACTTGTGTGCTTGTGTTGAGTGCATTGACTGACTGTTCCACTGATTGACACATCGACCGATTGACTGTTTGACCAACGCGTTGATTTATTGACTGATTCAATAATTGACTGATGGGTTGATTGATTGATTGATGGAGTGATTGAGTGACTGATTGGTTAAGGCAGAGATTGACTGAGTGAATGACAGTGATTGCGTTGGAGAATGTTCGCAATGCAAATGTGTTGACGGTGAGTGTGAAGGTGATTGGCGACAGCATGTTTATGTTGTTGTGTAGCTGAATGCATCAGCGTGATCAGTGGTGTAGTGGATGGGAGGAGAGATTCACACTGATTGTAGACACAGTGACTCGGATGTAGGATGACGCGAGAGATAGCATGGTATGTGTGATGTGTATTTTGTGTGTGGTATTGTGACTTTGTGTGAAAGCACTGTGTTGTTTGTTGTCACTGAGTTGTGTAGATGGTGTTGAAGTGGTCGACACATTGGTAGTTGTTGTAGTATTGTATGTAGTTGTTTGTGTGTGCGTAGATATTGGTTTGATGATGTTGGTGGAGACGGTGGCATAAGTGTCGGTATTTAGTGTTGTATTGATAGTTCTTTTGATTGTGTGACCTGAGAGAGAGAATGTGTCTGGCATATTGCGAGACAATGTGGAGATGATGTTGACTTGTGACGAGTGTACTAATTGTGGTTGTTTGTTTGTTTGTGTGTGTTCTCTCTGCTTCTGTACAGACACATCGACAGGCGTTGCGACTGAGACCAGCAGCGTCAAGCACACAGACACAAGTGCGGCGTCAGAACTCAGTCGACCGAACACCACTAGCACTAGTACGGACACGAGCACGAGCACAGGCACAAGCACGAGCATGGGCACGATCACTAGCACCACCGCGACCACAAGCACAACATTGATGCCGTCAACGACGATGAGCACGACAGCAACATTGGCTACCATGCGGATGACCGAGCCGTCATCAACTACTACTGCAGCTACTTTCGGTAGGTCCGAATTGTTTTGCAAGACAACAAATGCACTCCACACCTCATTCAACTCATGTTCACATGACTTGTGTGCTTGTGTTGAGTGCATTGACTGACTGTTCCACTGATTGACACATCGACCGATTGACTGTTTGACCAACGCGTTGATTTATTGACTGATTCAATAATTGACTGATGGGTTGATTGATTGATTGATGGAGTGATTGAGTGACTGATTGGTTAAGGCAGAGATTGACTGAGTGAATGACAGTGATTGCGTTGGAGAGTGTTCGCAATGCAAATGTGTTGACGGTGAGTGTGAAGGTGATTGGCGACAGCATGTTTATGTTGTTGTGTAGCTGAATGCATCAGCGTGATCAGTGGTGTAGTGGATGGGAGGAGAGATTCACACTGATTGTAGACACAGTGACTCGGATGTAGGATGACGCGAGAGATAGCATGGTATGTGTGATGTGTATTTTGTGTGTGGTATTGTGACTTTGTGTGAAAGCACTGTGTTGTTTGTTGTCACTGAGTTGTGTAGATGGTGTTGAAGTGGTCGACACATTGGTAGTTGTTGTAGTATTGTATGTAGTTGTTTGTGTGTGCGTAGATATTGGTTTGATGATGTTGGTGGAGACGGTGGCATAAGTGTCGGTATTTAGTGTTGTATTGATAGTTCTTTTGATTGTGTGACCTGAGAGAGAGAATGTGTCTGGCATATTGCGAGACAATGTGGAGATGATGTTGACTTGTGACGAGTGTACTAATTGTGGTTGTTTGTGTGTTTGTGTGTGTTCTCTCTGCTTCTGTACAGACACATCGACAGGCGTTGCGACTGAGACCAGCAGCGTCAAGCACACAGACACAAGTGCGGCGTCAGAACTCAGTCGACCGAACACCACTAGCACTAGTACGGACACGAGCACGAGCACAGGCACAAGCACGAGCATGGGCACGATCACTAGCACCACCGCGACCACAAGCACAACATTGATGCCGTCAACGACGATGAGCACGACAGCAACATTGGCTACCATGCGGATGACCGAGCCGTCATCAACTACTACTGCAGCTACTTTCGGTAGGTCCGAATTGTTTTGCAAGACAACAAATGCACTCCACACCTCATTCAACTCATGTTCACATGACTTGTGTGCTTGTGTTGA